TGTTTGTTCAAAATTGCAAACATAAAAATGACTGAATGATTAGTTTAATGATTGAGTTGAACTCACCAACTGCACAGACGAAGAACAGGCACTCTAACGGTTAGAGACGTTAGCCTGTGAAATCTGCCAAGTTTATCTTGGATTTGCTCACAGAATGTTGAAAGCAGTGCTGAGGTATCCTACGTTAGTCTTATTTTTTTCCGGTTTCTTTCCATCTGATTTTTGGGGTTTATTTTGGTTAGAGATTAACGTTTGATTGTCTTTTTAATCCAGGTAAAAGGTTTGGAACATTCAGGTTAACCGGGCCTAGAAGCAGAGGAGCCGAACATATCGCGCTCATGGACGAATCAATCGTATGTCAAACCTTTTCTTCTAAATTAATGTGTAATTTGAAGTTTGAATTATTTTGCAGTTCAGTTGTTATATTTGCGCTAGCTAATGTCTTATTTTGTGTGTTGTGAATGGTGATGTTAAGTTTGAGACATATTAACTCTTTCAATGAAATTTTTGAGCTGCTAACATGAGGAAATTCCTTTCAGCTTACATGTCACCCCCTGTCACATTGAGTTGTTTCTATCTGAGAAAGAAGAGCCTGCCAAGAAAGAGGCAACTATCTTTGTTTCCATGGTTTTAGTTGCAGTTTGTCAAAAAAGTTATGTATTGGGTCTGTAAATGTTGATACTATAGTTTTCCCTGTTCATGAATGACTTCTTTTCCTGTTTTATTTTGTAGCCCGAGTCACAATTGACAGCAAGCAAACCTAGGAAGGCTTTATTTTGTAGCCCGAGTCACAATCGGCAGCAAGCAAACCTAGGAAGGCTTTAGCTTGAGATGGTTAGTCTGTTTTGTTCTGAATCAAATCTGTTATCAGCATAGTGAGTTATAATTTTGAGGAATATTGAAAGCATTTTTTTTTCTGCTATAGGATGTTAGTGCTTATTACTGAACAATGCATTACTGCTTTGGTACATTTCTTTTCGTCAGTTACACTATAATTTATATCTATTACTTGAACTACATAAATAAGTTTATTGATCTATCTAAAGTTCATTTTAAACAAACACTAGACACAAGATATTGTGGGAAATTGATTTTACAATTAAAATTCTATTTTATAATTGCTCACAAAGAACCACGTAATAGTTGGCCAAAACCAGTATTAGTTAAATCTATGTTCTCAAACAATTATAATGTATACTCTCTTAAATCGTGTGAAAACTGAAAAGTGAAATATATTTGTATGTAATAATAATGTGATTAGAAAAGAAATGTGATTAACAGTTGAAGCTTTAAATTGTTTGTACAAAAGATTGAAATTGGTGTCTACACATTTAATTGGTTTGATTATCATGTTCTCCCAATTAGAAGAGCTTGGTGATAAAAAGAAAACAAGCATTTCTTTCATATCTGGTAAGTAGATTTCATCTGCCTTGCCAGGCACATGTAATATTAACATTTAAATCGACTCTTGATTTTATTAGCCATCTTTTACTAAAGTTATATTTCCTTTCTTGTTTCATTTCTTTTTTCGTCTAGACGGGCCAGCTCTTGTGGGTCACATCCATTGTCCTCGAGCGGGTCGAGGCCGAGATCCAGCCCAAGGGTGGGGTTCATGGTGCCGCGCTGAGGAGGCCGAAGACGTCGCCTCAGCGGAGATCATGAGGCAACATGTAAGGGTGACAGAGCAGAGCGACAACAAGCTGATGAAGACTCTCAGGTTGAAGAACACTCTCATGTGACAACCGCCCCACAACGGCTATCCCCGCTGAGCTGACGGATACTGGGGCTCCCAGCATAGAAAGGGAATGGTCGTGTACGACCACATGCGAAATTAGTCAGTCAATTTTCTAAACCTTTGATATTCGCTGATTTAGTACTGAGAATCCTTTCAGATTCATGTATGCATTTGTATCGAGTGTGTTGTGCTGCCATTTTTTTTTTTAGGCGTGATTGTCTTTGCGGTGGAGATGGGAAAAGGAGATGGCGATGTATGGGGATGGGACGTGGAGTTGGGGTGCGGAGCAGGCAGCATCAGGATCGCGTACTCTCGACTCTTGATTTTT